AGAACTGTCCCAACCCTGCCAGCATTCAAGGCCAGGCTGGAGAGGGTTTTGAGCAATCTGGTCTACTGGAAACTGTCCCTGCCATGGTTGGAGTGAGACGATCTTTAAGGTCCCCTCTGCCCCAAACCATTCTGTGGTTCTGTGGTTCTAGGAGCATGTGACAGTCACTGCAAAGAGCCAGACACAAGTAAGACTGAAGCTTCTGCAGCCCACAGCTAGAGCAGTCCTGCATCTGACAGCCCTGCACACACACTTGAGGGAATGGACAGTTCCCAGGAAATACAGACTAGTCCTGTTAGCTCCACTGGGCAGCACCAGAGCCTCAGCCCAGGGAATGAAGGGGAAGGAATGATCATGGATCACTTTTGGGACCACGTGGGATACTCACATGGCTTAGGAGGGAGTTGGCTAATGTCACTGCAAATCACTGTCATCTTTCAAAGGTCTTGGTGACAAAGGGAGGTCTGATGACATGCAAACATCACCCCATCGTGTAAGAAGGATCCAGGGAACCACAGGCCTGTCAGTCCCAACGCAGTCCCTGGAAGGGCTGTGTAGTAAATCCTCCTGATGGCCATTTCCAGCAGGAGGTGGTGGTGACTGGGAACCACCAGATTGGATTTACCAGTGGTAAATCTTGCCTAACTTGATTGCCCTCCATGAGATGGCTGTGTGGAGGACAGGAGAGTGAGTGTGGAACACCTTTGACACCGTCACTGACAGTGTTCTTAGCAGGAACTGGACTGCAGGAGCAGATGATAAGGTGATGGAAAATTGCCTGGGATACCAGGCTCAAAAGGTGATCAGCTGTACAAAGTTCAGCTGGCAGCTGATTACCAGCAGCACCCCTCAGGGCTGGTATTGAGGCCAATACAAATCCATGTCTTCATTAACAAACTCAATTAACATTAATTACGGGACAGAGAGCACTCTCAAGAAGTTTGTAGATGACATCAAACTGCTGGCGTGGCTCGGGCAGGAGGTCCTTCTCAGAGGACACAGGCTAGAGAAGGGGTCTGATGGAGGGTTTGTGAGGGAGGGATAACCAAGGCAAAGTCTCCTGCCTCTGGGACAGAATAACCCCTTGCACCAGCACAGACTGGGACAACTGGCTGTACAGCAGCTCTGCACCAAATGACCTGCCAAGCTCTCAGGGAGGCTGAGCAGCCAGAGGACAGACAGTCACAGTAAGTGCTTTATGGACTATCACTACAGCTGTCTGGAAGAGACTCTGTGACACAACAGTGACTTTCTGCTTCTCCAGAGTCTTTGAAACAGTCATTTTGAACACAAGTTCTACCTTTCAAAGCCTATGCAGGGCACAGAGATTCCCCTAAAAGGGAATGATGAGAACATCAGCCCACAGTAAGTGGAGCTGGCTGGAGCATGGAGTAGATCAGTTGGCTTCCTGAGAACACAGGGAAGGAGCATGAAGCCAGGGAAGAACTGAAAACCAGGATCAAGTGATGAAACCGGCTTTGAAGGTTTAACTCATTAGGAAGTAAGTCAGCAGATCTTTCTTTGCTACCTGTTCTAGAGAGCTATTTCAGCTCAGAATTCCTAATTCTGCCTGAAAGATGATGATGTGGTAATAGGCTAGAACATAGCATTTCACATGTGCCATCAAGCTGCTTTGAAAGCATCTTTGCCAGAGAAATGGTTAAATTATTGCAATGTGTCAGTCATATGGACGTCAGCTGTGATGGTCAGTAAAAGACCCAAACAAGGGTCTGTGGTTCTCTAGCACAGGAACTGCCACTGGCATTATCATATCCCTTTAAAAAAAAAAATAAATCAGACACTTGGCAAGTGTGTGGTGTTTGTGTGGCTGCCCAGTGCAGGCTCAGGATGTGCACCTCTTCCTGGACAGGTGTTGGCTCTGCTAATGCAATCAGTTAGCTCAGATTTGGTCTTATCCACATAAACACCAAACCTGTCCATGCTGAGAGTGTGTCATCTCATTTACAGAAACCAGAGAATAAATGGAGTAGAAAAAGTGGCTTGTTAGAGAAAAATTTAGAACATTTCACCCTCCAATACCACAACAGTATTGAAGATAAATATTCTGATGACTTCTGTTGGACAGGCAGAGTCTCTGTTAATGATGTAACTCAGAGCAATGATACAAAAATAAATATATGTAGATACAAAGATATATGGATACATAGATATATAGATATAGATATCTGGCTCTACCAAAACAATTAAAGCAAGCCCCATCACTCAAAGGGCAGCGTTCACCTCCACCAGCAATCTTCCAAGGGAGAAATCCTGAAATCCCTATTGACATGTCTTGCATGAAGTATCAAAGTGTAACAGGTCACAAAATCCCAACCTGGTTTGGGTTGGAAGGGACCTTAAAGCTCACCTCATTCCACCCCCTGCCATGGTCAGGGACACCTTCCACTGTCCCAGGTTGCTCCAAGCCCTGTCCAACCTGGCCTTGGACACTTCCAGGGATGGGGCAGCCACAGCTTCTCTGGGCAACCTGTGCCAGGGCCTCCCCACCCTCACAGGGAAGAATTTATTCCCAACATCTCTTTACTTTTATCTTAAAACCATTCCCCCCTTGTCCTATCACTATCTCCCCATGCAAAAAGTTGCTTTCCCCCTTTTTTATAATTGTCACTCCAATACTTGTTTTGGGTAAGGCTGACAATCCATATGAATTAAAATTCCTGGCAGATGAAGAGGAACTGCACCTTGTACTCTGACTTCAGAATGAAACCATGGCAGCAGCACTTCCAGATACTCCAATTCGAGCACAAAACCCGTGTGGTGAATCAGGCACAGCTCCCTGTGCAGGCCCTACCAGCTTCAAGCTGGTTTACATCCCCCTGGGTAATGGTCTTATATTTACAAGTGCAAACTAAACAGACATAAGCCAGGTTTGGGCAGAGCCCATACATGGTCCCCTCAGTTCCCTAAATCCCTGCTAGAGTCCCCTCACTAACCCAGCACTTGTGTTTAGACAAGCTGGACCAGGAGTTGCTGCTATTGCCTGATTTCAGATGTAAAAAAGCATGAGGCTTTGTAACGAAATTGCATTAACCAAGACAGCGAGGAATGACAAATTATAAATAGGAGGTGGCTTCAGAGAGATTCCAGAAATGGACGGTGAGCAATCACTGTGGCAAATCAATGCTCTGGCCCAGGGGATCGGAGAGGGGCCAGGTTTAGTTTTACCCTGAAAAGGCAGTGACACATAAAAAGCTGATGGCAGGTGGTCACTCTGCATTCTGTACATCTCACAAAGATTTATGAGCAAGGCTGAATGCTGGAAAAGCAACACTGAAGCTGCTTGTGTGCCTCTGCAAGGTCAGCTTATTGTATTATGGAAACATTTCCAGTGAGACTCCTACAAGTTGAGGCTGTCTTATTTTGCCCAGCTACAAGAAAGAAGCTACTAAATAAAAGCAGCATTAAAAAGAAAAAAAAAAACCACACCATTTACTCTTAAACAGTGAATTTTCACTGGTTTTGGTTTGTCTTCAGATGAGCAAAGCCTACATTTAAGCTAAGAGTTTAAAGCTGGAAGGAGCTTTCCAAAATTTGTTTAACAGGAAAATATTTAACAAGAAAGCACACGGATGTATTTTCTAAATTACTAATCACTTGTAAGTACCACACATTGTAATTATTATGAATGAAAACTGTCACGAGAAATTGCGTAGGTGCCTAAATCAAGGATTTTGACATTTGTTACTGTCAATAGCTTAATGTGGAGTGGAAGGCCTGACTCCTGGGATGTGGCTGTGGGATATCATTCTCACTGGTCTGTGAATCTAGAAAAGCAAAGTTCCTCTGAAAAACGTCTTAAGTATTTAAGAATGGTCCTGTTCCACCACAGTAAGAGGTGGGACATCTCTGGAGTGAAGAGAGGAAATAAAATTTGGCTCCTGGAAGCTGTGCAGGTTGGAGCCCCATCTCCCAGCCGTGCTCTGGATCCCATTATCTGCATCTTCAACAAGTTCACAGCAGCTCGAAACATCTCTGCACAGGCCTGTACAGAGTAAATTCACCACGAGCTTGTTCTGAAATCCATTCATGCTGAAGTGACCCCCCAGGAAAACAGGCACCTAAATCCCCACCAAATCATTCCTCCATAGAATCATCGAATGGTTCGGGTTGGAAGGGACCTTAAAGCTCACCCCATTCCACCCCCTGCCATGGGCAGGGACACCTTCCACTAGCCCAGGTTGCTCCAAGCCCCATCCAGCCTGATCTCAACACTTTTAGCAAGTGAAGTTTTCCTGCTAAGGCCTAAGACACAAGGCCCAGCTCCTCCTGCACCTTTCCTCCCCACACAGATCATTTTGCTGCAGCCCAAGAAAGGAGATGGCAGGGACAGCTGTGGCACCTCCCCTCAGAAGGACAGCTGAAAATAAACTGCAGACTCAGATCCCAGGATTTATACTGGGCACCTTCCCTGTGCTGGGGCCATACCATTATCACTAGGTCAAACAGTTCACTCAGTGGAAAGCTTGTCACTGGAGAGTGGGGGCTGCCATTCCCCTGAAAGGCTTTGGGCTTCTCTTTCCTTCATTTTTTTTACCCCAGCCTTGTGCACAAATGCAATTTTTTAAAAACCAAATCAGATGTTTCAGAGTTTTTAATGTTCCACCTGCCTTCATTTGTATTCAAAAGTCAGAAAGAATGAAATATCAATTTATACAACTACTTATATAATATTCCCCTCTCCCAAACTTCTTAAAACAGATTGCTCTAATATGCACAGTCTGACAGGCCTGTTTGACTTATGGTATATAATAATCCTCAATTGGAAGCCAGCATACCAACTGAGAAGTCTTATATTTTAATATTAGGCAGTTATTATCTCAGTATATTACAAGGCACACCACTTGAGATGTCTCACAAGCCCCACAGTACTTAATGTGAATTCTAAATCTCTAAACCGCTTTGAAATAGAAACAGCTCCCAGCCCCTAACACTCACAGATAAAAAAAGCAAGAGGCATTATAAATTGCAAAAAATAATACCAGGATGACAGCAATTTCATCTAGGCTAGAGCTGAGAGTTCTGCACAGAAATGCACTGACTGTTTGAGCAGGTTCCAGCCACGCCAACGGGAGCTGCAGGACCCCGCACTGCTGGAGCGGGGACCATCCCGCTGCACTCACTGCTCATTTCTGCAGTTTTTGCTGAGCTGGCTTTCAATCTTATCAAACCATGTTGATTCAGACAAGGACGCAGCCCTCAAGACTTGTCTCCACCTCTAATGCAGGCTCAAGAATTTCATTTGCAGAAGCCAGAAAGCTTTCAGTATACGTTAGGCACAACAAGCTTTCCCTAAAAGCTTCCCAAAGGAGCTTTCCATGTGGGGCCAGAGATGTGGACTGCCCAGCAGCTGCAGTGGAGATGAGAACCTTTCCACAGGCAGCACTGAAGGACCAGGTTCAGCACTTCCAGCTGCTGCCATGAAGGAAGCTGGAGCTGAAAATCCCATGAGCTCCCTTGCTCCCTGTTTCTGGGGAGCAGCAGAGCCTGATGCGTGGAATCACAAGTAGGATAAACAGAGGCTGAGGAAAGAAGCAATGAAGATGCACATTTCCCCTCCCAAATACCCATCTACTTACTAAAACACAGGGTGTTTCCTCCCAGCATCCAGTACTGAGTGAATGCTGTGGTTGGCTTCAGTTTCCAGAAGCCAAACCAACCAGTCGAGAAAGTGCCCCAAACCACACCAGGGGAGGGTTTCCTCCCCTTCGCCAAGAGCAGCACCTCTCCCAGGCTCCAACTCACTGCAGCTCAAGGTTAGTGTAGTCTAGACTTATTTCTGCCCACTTAGGAGACTGTTCAGAAATAGAGATGCAAGGGACAGACAAATGAACCCACAGGGACAAAACATCAAGCCAGAAAAGGGACTGAGTCAGCCAAAGGGAGGAAAATAAAAGCATGAGGTTGATAAAACTGCAATTTGGATCTTAACTATTTTGTCTAATAAATTCCTGGTGTATTGTAGGCAACTTCCAAGCTCTCTCACTTTATTCAGAGTACTATGGGATGGTACATGTTACTGCATTCCCATTTTTAACTGAAACCCAAAATCTCTCTTTCCCTAGTGATAAACCCTATTTTTGACAGTGCCATATTTCAGTTTGATGAGCAGTGTTAAATGCAGCACAAACAGCTTGCAACTTCTATTTTCCCTGGCAGAGGCCTTTGGAAAGGAACTCTGCACAGGGCACCGGGAAAGGTATGACTCTCCCTAGATAACCTTCTCTTCTGAGGATGAATGTATTTTTAGGCAATGCAGCCACCCAATCTTAAAAAATGCAGCCTGATTTATGACACTATCGTCACCACTTAAAGATCAGAAGCTGAACTACCTTAAAGCACAGCTGTGATGCCCCAAAGATGGGGTACCTGAACATTCATTCAAGAGTTTTCATGCCACTGTACACTGTGTCATCTCCTCACTTTTCAGGGCACAAACTGGTTGTTACCTTTTGGTGATTAAGAAATTCTGTGTCCAGGGAAAGTAAATGAAGCTGGGGAAGAGTCTGGAGCACAGGTCTGATAAGGAGCAGCTGAGGGAGCTGGGGGGGCCCAGACTGGACAAAAGGAGGCTCAGAGGGGACCTTCTCACTCTCTCCAGCTCCCTGACAGGAGGTTGGAGCCCGGTGGGGGTCAGGCTCTGCTCCCAGGGAAGAAGGGACAGGACAAAAGGAAACAGCCTCAAGTTGTACCAGGGGAGGTTTAGGTTGAATATTGGGAAAATTTCCTCCCTGAAAGGCACTGGACCAGGCTGCTCAGGCAGCAGTAGAGTCACCATCTCTGGAAGTGTTCAAAAGACATGTGGATGTGGCACCTGGGGACATGGTTTAGTGGTGAACATGGCAGTGCTGGGTTCACTGTTGGACTCAATGATTTTAGAGGGCTTTTCCAACCTTAACAATTCCTTGATGTCATTCCATGATTCTCCCAGAAGCTGTGGCTGTAGGAGTACAGCACTTTACTGTGTGGGTTGGATCTACCTCAGTTATCCTATAAAACAAACCCGGGCTGCTTCAGGCACTATTGCAGTCCCAACCCTTTGCTCCATGCTCTCCAGTAGTGATGTCCTAGCTAGGGAAAGTATCAATCCACACATGAATCCTCTCTTTCTTCCCCTCAGTCTCCAGATTTTGTTCCAGCGTTGGGACCTCAGTGATTCTTCCAAGAGTCTCCAGACTGCTGTGATCAGAGTGCTCTGTAACGTATTCCCCTGGATGGTTTTAGGACTGTCCAAAAATTTTGCTGCCTCTGCTTTGCTAGGACTGTACACAACCTTCAGAAGGGAGGAAAGGGCAAATTTGCTGAGCAGTAACTGAAAATTTCCCAACCCTTTTGACATATTGGTCTTCGGAGCTTTATAAAGCAGCATCCAAGACATACCTGCAATTTTACAGCTGTGGCTCAGAAGGAAGAATAACTTAAACCAGGATCTCCTGGAGAGGTTCCAGCCTCCACCTAACCCAGAGACACCACACAAAGTACCTGACTTTTCAGGAAGCAGCTTCTGAATAAGCACAAGTGCCCAGCACCCAAAAACAAGTAAACAGCATGTGCCGAGGTACTTGCAGAGTACTGTAAATGACATGAGTTATTTCATGAGCAACTCACTTCTCCTTGGAACAGACCAAAGGGAAAGAGGGTAAATCATCAAAGGGCAGACAGAGGATAAACAATCTTTGCTGTGATCCTTTGTGAACTGTCCTTGAAGACAAACAAGCACTACTATTATTGTATTTGGAGATGCTTTCCCAACTAGAAGCAGCAGACTTCTTCCCCTTAAGACTCAATTTTCATACAAGTTTACTCTTCCATTGGCTCTGTCACTCAAGAGACAGAGGGAGCAGTTCATGCCCATTTTCCACCACTTGCAAACACTAGAGAAGTTCAACAGCCAACAGTTCACTTCACCAACTGGAAGCAGCTTTCTCAATGATTTCTAAATGTTCACTCACATTTAAGTAATGTCTCCCTTTCCATTCTGCATTTGACACAAAACCATTGCCAAAAATAATTCACTGAATACAGTCTAAGTTAATAACTGAAAATAGGGGACTGATGTTCATCCAGCAGCAATCTTCAGGCACTGAGGGAGATAAAGGAGAGCTGAAGTCACCACCCAGGTGATTTCACAGCAGACACTGGCTGTGGTGCAGGTCTGTGCTGCACCCGGTGCCTCCAAAGAGGACGATGACACAGGTTGGAGGCTCAGCAATACCACTTGTAATTTAAAAGGTTATTTTCAAAATACAGCTTCGTGGCTATAAATAGCAGAAGCAGCTTCTCACCCAGCAAGCACACAATGGGTCTTAGTCACAGTGGCCCAGATACCAGAGAAAGTGTAATTTTATCTTTGTGAACAACACACAACGTTTGGGGCCACGTTGTGTTTCAAATAAACTAACCCAATTTGTAAGACTGGTCTTAGGTTTTGTGGAAGCAGCTGCCATCTCTGACAAATTAAGTCAATTGACATTGTTAACCCTTCCATTATCTAAAAAGACCTGTTCGCTCGTCCAGAGCAAGTCTCACTTAATATTACGTTCTTTAATTAAAAAAAAAAAAATTTACTTGATTTTTCTTTCAACAAAGCCAGCTCTTTTTAACATGTAGGACTTTCTTCCTTATTATGTGGCCCTTTGGTTTCACATGTATGAAATGAGAGCAGAGGGTCACCACCATCACAATGTAACATTGTGATTCTAACACTGAGAGAAGTTACTGAAATATCCTCACGGGTACTACATCATTCCATTTCTCAACCAGAGCTCTGGGGACCCCCAACCTAACTGGTCTGGCTGACACTTTACCATAAGGCAGTATTATTCTCCAAGTAATATGAAAACAAACATATTTTGGCCAGGTTCACTGATAAGGAACTCATAACAACCTCCCCAACCACGCTAATAAACATTTTCATCTGATACAGATTTACAGACTCAGGATACACATGTACAACACAACCTCTAACAAAACAGCCTTTGTTCCATTTGGGTGTGCAAGAATATCTCATCACTGCTCAGCAAAAATGTTAATGCATCCATGGGACATTGGAACAAAGTTTTTATTCCAGTCACAGTAAGGTCACCCTCCCTTCCTGTCAAGTTAGTGAAGAAACCCTTCACGTAAGCAGCTGGCTGGTACTGCCAGCATCTGCTCCGCCGCTCCTCATCCAAAGCTCTTCCAAGTATCAAGCCCTTGGTGTTACTGGTCAGTGTCACCCGATACCGTGATCCTAAGACACATAATAACACAATTCTGTACCCTTTACATAGGCAGAATTAAATGTGCAGCCTGCCTGTCACTACATGGCCCGCCATGGACTCCAGCAGCATGACCTTGCTGAGCTCATCGCCCGTTGCTGGACAAGTCCAATGCACTTCACCAGACACCTCTGGCCAAAGGTCACATCACCTCCATCAGCAAGGACCTGGGCAGTTCTGAGGAGATCACAACCAATCCTGGCTGGAAAGCCCTCATGAAGTCATCCCAACTCTACCATGCTTCTATCCACCTTAAATTCAGCCTTCTTGGTTGTCAAAATGCTTTTCAGTAACCGGCTCTTACCAGCATCTATAGGACTACTTATTTATCTGTTAATAAATGGACAAATGCCAGACTGGAGAGTACTTGTGCAGCGTAACTTATTTGCTACCACTACACCAAAACCCACAACCAACCAAAAGAAAGCTGAGCCATCACAAAGTTCACTGCTTTGCCAGCTGAAGTCTTATTCAACCTGAGGATCTGTGAGCTCTCACGCTCTTTGCTTCATAACTTATTTTTGGAAGTCCAGAATAAAATGTATCAGTCTTCTCTCCCCTTGTTCCCTGACAGCCAGGAGCCAGTGAGCTCCTGAACCGGCTGACACACGTCCCAAATGCTTCAGTAACAGCATCCCAGCGGAGCAGAAATCCTGATCAGCTCAGCGACTGTCCTGCTATTTGTGCCATTAACATGCTATTCTTTACAAACATTATTTCCAGATGTTATTCCTGATGGTGCTTCTTTCCCGGTCCTGTTGCTACACCACATTCTTAATCTACAAGATCTTGAGCTAAGAAAATTTTCTTCCTGAGGCTGGCCCGGATCCAAATCGGATTCATTTCACTGACCAGATGCACCAATGTGGGACACTGATTTCACAACCCCTGCTAAATTCTCTATCAGTCTTAGATAACAACAGGTTTCCCAATATCTGGGATGGCAATTTCACATGCTTCCTCGCATTCCTGCTCATTTACACAAGGACGGCAAAGGCTACGGATGAAACACAGCACACGTTTCTCAACAGCCAAGGCTTTACCACTCCACAGTCAATTCCTGGGACCACTTTGTACTATCTTCAGCACATTTGGCTGAATATTAATAGAATCTATGTCGCTTATCGGCGATGAGGGCACCCTCTGCTCCCTGCCAAAGGAGCAGTTTGAGGAGTTTCAAGGCAACTCTGATAAAACACAACACAGGGGCTGACCAGACACTCCTGACCTTGCAAATCCACATTCCCCTGGGGAAATTTTCCCAGCATCGCTGCTATTTCAGCAGACCCCAAAAGCACAAAGGCAGAAGTTTTCCAAAAACTAACAAACTGGCCAGCTGGCCAGCAGCCCTGACAGCCCCTCGATCTTTATTCTGCTAATTAAGCTCCTTAATAACCCTGCAAAAGCCCGGTACATCACGCTGCCCGGCTGGAACAGGCCAGCCGGGGCTGTGCCGTGACAGCGGCTGAGCGGGGCTCGGCTCGCAGCGCCCTGTCACCCTTTGTTTACCGACAGCC